ATTTCACAAAGGTTGCAACAGATGTTCTCTCTGTCAGACGATGACATTCGCTGCATTACCAAACAACATATTCATTTCTCAACGCTGGGAAGTGTCAGCTACGAGGCCCCGTTTGTCTCCTCGCCAAGACGTGTGTTGAGCTGTGTGTGGATCACTAGCGCCCCCTACTGGTGATGTAGAAGAAGGAGAAGAAGAAGAAGTTTTCAGCATCCAGGGAAGAATAAAAGACCAGCGTACCTAAGCTTCATTTTGCTAAGAAATTAGATTTCTTTAATAAAGAAGTGATGCTTTAATGAATTCTCTGTGTGGCTTTCACAAAATTTCTCTTTCATTTTTAAACTGAAACTGCTTCAATTAACTAACACACAGCCAGTCTATGCAGCAAAGTCCCATCCTCGTGTTCTTTGTCGTGCGTCCTCTGCAAAAGTTAGAAAGAATGAAAAATGCCCCCCCCCCCTCGACCCAACCTCTCCTGCAGCTCATCTTCTCCTCCGCACACATGAACGGACAGGTCCGTTCATGCCACCGCGCTAATGGTGGGGACATTATTCATCTCTCCAGCCAATTTGGGCTCTCTCCCCCTCCTTTCAGGAACAGAGGCGCAAAGGGTTGAGAGGAGTCAGCGGAGAGTATTAAAAATGTAGAGGAAGATGGACAAAAAAGGAGCGGCAGAATAAAGAGGGGCTGGGGAAGTGGGAATGAAGAAGGACAGGAGGTGTGTGGACACATTATTCACTCCAAGTCAGAGGGAACATATGTGTGTAAATGGATGGGGGTGTTAAGGTTTGTTTTTGGAACCCCCCCCCCCCCCGACCCCCTTCCAAGACTGTAAAAAGAGAGGAAATTTAAGGTGGAAAAAGTATTAATACCACTTTGGACGTTTTAGATGCTGTATTCGCGCCCCCCTTCATGGCCTGGCAATGATTGCGTTCACAAGAGAGGGTAACTTTGAAACCTGTGGTACCTCTGGAGGAGCTACAGGGACTTGCAGCTCAGGTAGGAGAATCTGTAGATGACTGTTGTCAGGCATTCTACAAATCCGTCCATATGGAAGAAAGTGATTTGGTCTAATCAGAATTAAAACTGAAATTCTTTTTTTTTCTTTTTTTCTTTTTTTTTTTTACTTCAGGCATCACAGAATTATAGTTTAGGCTGGTTTATGTAAAATCTAAATCTTAATCCAAGTGGAAATATGTGGCAAAACTTGAAAAACCCTCTCCATCAAATCTATCCGAATGCCAGGTGTCTTGGAAAGAGCAAAACTGGATCAAACTCCAAAGACTCGGTGATGTAACTACGGGGACAGAGGCTTTGTTGATTTAGAGAGTTTGAACATTCTTAAAAAAAAAAAAAAAAGAAAAACATTAGAAAAACTTCACTTCACAAATAGTTACTGTTTTATGCTTGTCTATCAGATAAACTCACAATACGATACGCAGGAATTTGTGAATGGCCAAGTGAGAACAAACCTCAAAGGACATGAATACTTTTGCGTAAAACTATAAAACGCGTGGCCAAGTTTCACAGATTTCCCTCAACTTAAGGACGAACTGTGGAGTCACTGAATTATGGATCTCTGAGGTGAACCGCTGAGAGCTGCGACGCAATCTTAATTAAACACTTTTTGATCGAAGGCCGTGAAGTCTCACGGAAGCTACAAAAAGTGCGTCCAATTTATGGCGCGCGCTGCAGTCGGAGTGTCACTCTGAGGATATACGTTCACCGGCCCCAGTCAGGAGGAATTACACCCAAAGAACGTGATTGAGGGCATCTTAATGGAGGGGGACGGATCAATAAGTATTATGAGCATGTTTTAATTCCTGGCACCTCACATAAACCTTTACCAACTTCACAATGTCACTCTGTGTTCATAAAAGTTTTCTCCTCAAGCCGCCTTGGACAGAAAAAAAAAAAAAGATATAAATCCATCAAAAAGTCTTCTCCGTTTTATAGCCCCTCTCTCCCTCCCCTTTCTCTTCCTCCTCATCTCCATTTTGATGTCTGTCTATTAGCAGAGGGTGAGGCCTTTCCTGCTCTCCCATCCAGGGGCTAAATTAGCTCAATCAGCCCTCTTTCACCTCTCTTCCGTGGGCTTCGAGCTGAGTGACACACTGCTCCCAGGAGATATAGAGAGGACTCACACACACACACACCAAGCCCAGCAGCAACGCAGGGAGGGGGCTGCTGGAGAGCGACATGTTGGTGAAGGAAGAAGAAGGATGAAAAGGAAGGTATTGGTCAGAGCGGAGGATAAAGTTTCATTCTGCCTCCCTGCATTAGAGGTTTGGGCTGTGAATGAAGCACCTTGTTCACTCCTTGTTGAACTTTATTTCATGGTTTCCCTCTTCCTCGTGCCTTTCTAGGGCGGTGAGGTGCTTCACTTCAGAAGAGGCTCCTTCCTTATAGAGAAAGGAAGCCATGAGTAACTACTCCTCCTTCAAAGCGTCTCCTCTCTTTCTCGGATCCCGGCGCTCTCAGCCAAAGCCGGAGCCTGCTTGCCTGAGCCAACTTTTCTTAAATTGCCCCTTCATGTTTGATTTGTCTCAACCCTTCCCCTCTTTCCCTCCTGCTAAACAGCCAACCGAGTGTTAGTAGAAGTGCAAGGCAGGCATTTCTGTAGTGACGCATGTGTGTGTGTGTGTGTCTTTGGAGGAGGGAAGATGGGCAAAAAGGTGGCGATCAGAGTGAGCCATAAGATCTACTCTTTGCAGCTCTACAGGGATTTATTAGAGCGGGAAGTACATTAGCATCATAAAGACCCTGGAGAATAGGACTGTGGATGGGCTGCAGACACCATCACTGCACTCCAGCGTGCTCCTCACTATCAGGGAGCGTGTGTGTGTGCGTGAGCAAGTGAGTGTGTGGATGAGAGAAAAGATTACCCTGATTTAACTTAAGAAAGGCAGTTAGACGGTATATGGATCATCCCAAAGCAGCGGCGGACTAATACATCAGGAGATGATGGAACGAGCTGCAGGAGAGGTTATGGTGGGCGAACTACAGAAGATAGCTCGCATTTAAACTTGACCCGATACGAGCACAACGTATTTTGTCAAAACCCTTGGCGCCTTCTTGTTTGGATTGGACTGGTGGTGTTGTGGTGTTTGATTTAAAACAGCTAAATTTAAATACGACTCCTCCGATTCGTGCCCTTCGTTCCATTGGGAATATGCAGGAATCTGATTAGTCAATTGAGTGTTGCATTAAAAAAGAGGTTAATTACACATCGACTCAGGCCTTTTCCTGTGACTGCTGCGGAAGTAGCTGTCAGAAAACACGAGGAGGAAACTGGTTGGTGTTCCTTATTGTAAAGCTCTGGTGCCCTCTGCTGGACAAACCATGTAGCATCAGGTGAAGAGAAACTTAAGATCTCTAGCAGGAAATATAATGGACACAAATGCTGGGATTTATATGTGAAACCTGTAGTTCACTTTATTGGTTAAAGATTATAATGGGTAATGTGAAGCTAAGGCTTTTTAAAGTATTTCACCACAAAATTTGAAGAAATGTTCTCATTTATGAGAGTTTTTGTTGATTTGCATTTTTGTATTATTATTTTTTTTAAAAAAGATTTTTGTCGTTTATTTTATGACTCACAGTTTTTCGTCAGTGTATAACTTACAACATTTATATTTACTCCACCCCCTCATTTCTCTCGTAGAAAAAGGCAAAGGTTTTAAATGAAGATTTCAAAGCACAAGATTACTTTGCAGCTACAGTGGAATAATTCATCCATGTAGTCTGAGCTAGAATGAGTCAAATACAACTGAGAGTGGGAATGTGTGGAAAAATAATATTGACGGATCAGAACATGACATGGAGCCGTTTAGCAAAGAAGTGTGGGCAAAAAAATAAAATTTTGTAGATGCAAAACACTTTCAGCTGTAGTTGCAGCAAATTGTTGATTCTGAGAGGCACATATGCACTTTTTACATAATCGGTTATAAAAAATTAAAAACCATGTATCATTTTTCAAATTTAATATACTACTTTGTGCTTATCTCATAAATTCCCAATGAAACACACTGGTTGGTCTTTGATTTTTCCCCCCCCTTTTTTTAATTTGATGGGTGTGATTACTTTTGCAACTCGGTGTATAAAAAGGACAAGGACTAACAGATGTTGGACTGAAGACACTCCAGGTTTTCAATCTTGTGTCTTTTGAATTACAGGAGGTCTGACAAGTTGAAAAAAAACAACAAATAAATCACAACTCGGAGGATTGGTTCTGGAAAAAACATTTTATATTTTTAGTAGAACCACGTTTCTCTGTTGGGTTGCTCTGCAGAGCAATTTAAATCAAATAACAAATGAGCTCTTTGGAGTGTGGTCTGGGCGACTGTGCAACATAAGTGAAGAATAAAAAAAAATCTTTTTCTGGACAACAGTGGCTGCAGAATCAGTGATAAAGAACCATAGAGACACAAAGATACTGGCCTCTGGGATTTCATGGAGTCACAGATGTGTTTTTTTTTTTTTTCAGCTCAACCAGAACCACCCAAAACTTTACATTCATTAAATAAGTCATTAGATTTCAGTCAAATCATGGGATCATGTTTAATATCCATCTGCCAAAAGTAAAAGTTAAAGCAGACCAAAACAAATAATTTGAATCATATAAAAAAATAATCATGCCCCAAATGTAAATAATGTTATCATTTTTAAAATTATTTGAAATTCAGAAGTATATAAACCGTTTACTTTTTTTTTTTGTTTGTTTGTTGTGGAACACTTGATGATGTAGTTTCCCAAACTGTACTTGGAATAAAATTGAAATAGAACTAAAACAACAGATAAAAATAAAATACATTTAAGTGGCATAGTGGTATATGACATCTGAAATATTTTTTTTTTTTTTTTTTTACAAAGTCTAAACAATAATAGAGATTCCAGTGCTTCAACAGATAAAATAAATGACAAACTCTAAAATAAAGAACACAGGTCAACATAAAAAAAAAAAAAAAATTATCAATGTTCTTTTTTTTTTTCTTTTTTTTTTGTATTTTGTCCAACTTTACCTGTTCTGATCAAAAGCGACAACAAATTAAAGTCAAACCCAAGCAGAGACACAACAGACTCAACCTGGTTCAGCCGTTACCATGACGGCCGGAGTGATGGCGCGAAGTTCGCCTCCGCAGCCGTCCGCGTCTGCGTGAACATGTAAAGACTGCACCGCATCATAGTCTTTACACGTTTCTCTAAAGAGTGTGTTTGTGTGCATATGTTCTGATTCTGTGCTTACAAAACTGTTCCAAATGCATGACCAAACTTTCACAGTCCTCCTTCATTAAAACCTAACATCACCTGCCTTTCCCGTTGGACCTCATTCACAAACCCTTAAAACTCCATATATAAAATTACGTTTATCCCCCGGAAACTGCATAGTTTAGCTGAAGCAGACAGAAAAAAGGCATGGTTGAATGCGATTATAAAAATCTTAGCTGCGTACGGCCCAAAATGTATAAAAACATGCTGTAAAAAGAGGCAGAAAAGTAAATGAAAAGGCACACAAGGGTGTGTAGATCATGGCTCTGAAACAACTGAGTGATCAAAACAAATGCTGTTTTTTTTTTGTTTGTTTGCTTGTTTTGGGGGTTTTTTGCATTCTGTTACAATACCTGAGTATTTTTTGACAGTTTTTTGACAACTCATAAGTTAAAGTTAATGCTTTCAGATCATCCAAAGAATTTCATTACTTCACATAACTTGACAGTGTCAGAGTGAAGGTCCTGACTGGGGGTGTCTGGATCCTATCCCAAGAATCGGATCAGGTTTTCCATCTAGGTGTTTGATCGGTACTGAAGTCCTTGACTGGACTTTGCTCCCAATAATGGTCGTTGTTACACTGTCTGTGATTATGGCATTTGCACCTCCAGCAAGATGTGCAGTCAGTTAAAAAAGAAAAAAAAAAAAAAAAAAGGATCTGAAACACTGCGCATAAAATTTTATGTTTTATGAAGCCGTAAGTTTCATCTGTACACAATTAACTGAAACCGCATTAGGATATGTTTCAAGTCAAATCAAAACAGCAAGTAAAGGTACTAATGGTAGCCACTCACTTTAGCAAGCTGTGCTGAAAGCATGCAGGACCAAGAGTTTATTGAAGACTTCTTCCACCCACCCACTGAGTAATTATCTTTTTAAACTGAATCATAAGATGTGAACTCCTCCACAGATCCCTCCAATTCATCAGGGCCAACTCAGATCTTTATCAACACCTAACATGTGTGGCCAAAGCAAAAATGTGGAAAAGCAAAGTGAGGAGAGCAGCTATGTCAGAAGACTGCTTCCCCTTCAGGGTGAATTATGTATGCAGGACCATAAAGCTATTTCCATTTTATTAACTATCATACACCGAATCGTTTACGGTTATTAAAAGAGGTGCGCAAGGGTGAGATGGGGAGGGGATGGTGGGGGGCAAATAACTTTCACGTGAGACAATGCCCCCATTTGCTCTCGCATCCGATACCGTCAATCTAATTAACTACTGGTGTTGTCCTCTGCTCAGATAGGATTCAGAGACACCCTGCTGGAAATTAGGCTAAATGTGCTGCACAAGCGATCTGTGTGTTGGTTCAGCACCGGAAATGCTCAGCCTGGTAGGCAAAGTTTCGAGCTGTACGGATCAACTTGCAGGCACTTGAGTGTGTGCGCGCAAAATGTTTACTCTAAACAGAGCCGGCCGAATGCAGAATCTGATTTGGACCCCACTCCAGTTCACTTTAAGTAGCTCCAATGGAGGCGTACGAGTAAAATCTTGGACAGCAGTGTTGTTAAGGTAACGGATAAATATAATTTCTATATGCTGCCTCATAGTACAATGGAATAAAATAAAGACTTCCATTATGCATGCTTTTGACATAAAATGTATACAAACTTTAAACTGCCTTTGTTTCTAAATTGTTTTGATATTTAATTAATTCATGTGATTTATTTTGTTTTATTTAAATGATCTATTATATAAAGTTTTTGTGCAACTTATTGATGTACTGAATTGTGACACTTTTGACTCTTGATGACTAAAGAGGCATAATTGTAATTTATGCTTTAAATAGTTACATTGTCCTTAAAATGTGACTCTAGCACAGACACAAAAGCAGCTGGCAACATTTAACTACTGACATTAAATTGTGATCTATAACGTAATGACGCAACTACGAATAAATTATAACAAATAGTGCACACGTCGAGTTTCTTGGCTTTCTAAATGAGTCAAAAGAATTTTGATAATTTGAGATCAATGTTCTGTTTAAGAATCCAAATACTTATGGACACCTCTTGCTGGCCTGGAGGCCCCGAGCAACAGCTTAGTTTGTTTTTGCCTTGGGCCGGCTCTGACTAACAACGTCTGTGAGACTGGTGCACCCTCTGGTTTGGACTGTACCGTTAAAGAGAGATACCTGTACCACAAAGTGTGTGTGATGTTGGACCTGGTAAATATTTGATTATTTTTTTGTATATTGTGCATATTTTTAGGGTTTTTCTTATTTTTTGTTTGATGCTGTTTACAGTTTTACTGCCACCTCGCTACATTTCTACATGATGTCTCCATCCTCTATGCTAAAGCTGGATCTGCGGCTGGAGTCGACAGACGCCTCAGGGGACATTGCAGACAGCAGCGGGTCTCCGGCCATGGGGGACAAAGGCTCATCCATCATCAAAAAGCCCAGCTCGCCTCTCCTCCCTTGGACGTCCAGTCCGCCTAGGTCACCCAGCCCCGACATGCCGTCTGAGAATCCATGTATCCCATCGCACAGGTCCAGTGACTGGACAAAGTCAAAGGGCTGGGAGCTGCCCACGGCTGGGAACTGGATGGGCTGTTGGGGTGGGAGATGCTGTGGGAGCGGTGGCAGCTGCCGGGCCTGAGGCTGGAGCTGGCTCTGAGGATGGAGGTGGGCCTGGGGGAGGAAGTGGTGCTGCTGGGGCTGAGCCTGGTTGTGGGGTATGTGCTGGGACTGGTGGAGGACTTGTGCCTGGGCATGAGAAAAGTTCTGCTCTGGGCTGGTCTCTTGTTTTATATAAGGAGGCATCATTTCACTCGGGTTCAGGGCAGATGGGGAGTTACTTGGCAGGCCATGTAGTTGAGCCTGCATCTCCAGCTCCTGTTGGCAGCAAAATCAAACGTCATCCCAAATATCGCCTTCATTGTTTTCTTGTTTATGCATTTCTGTTAAGTGTCCCACCTGGATACGTAGCATAAGCTGTTTGTTGGCCATCTCCATCCTTTTGAAGTTATTTTCCACCTCTCTGGATCTCTGCACATCCTTCTGCATGCGTTTGATATAATCTACAGATGCGCGCAGTATAGTACCTTTGTTCCAACGTACATCGCTGCAAACAGAGGAATGTACACACAGCTGGTTACTCATAATGTCCTGTGGATCCACCGACACCCAGTGAATCTGAATATCATTAAAAACATAGCTTATTTCAGTAATTCAATTTAAAAAAATGAAACATATGTATAAATATTCACTATACATATATATATTTAAGCTTTCATTCCTATTCATTTTGATTAACGTAGCCTACAGTTCATGAAAATCCAAAATTACATAAGACCAACAGGTGTTTTTGTTCATGGTTGCCCAAGTCGGGTATAGATCTGTTGTTGTAGCTCTCAAAGCTCTCAATCCTGCTGCAGTTCACGCCTTGTGATTTGTCCTCCTCTTCCTAAACAGGCTTTGATTCAGGTTCCTTTCAAGCCTGCAGTTGTTCTTGTTGTTTCTTTTTTCTAATACACTTTTTCCCTTCACTTGATTTCTCCATTAATAGGTTCCTTCCTCAGTAATGACCATCTGTAGCTACACTCCCACCTCAAGGAGGGCATAGGTGACTGCTTGCTGTATAAATGTCAAGTCAGTATGCTTCCCAATGACTGTGTAGGCCATAACATGGCCATAAGAATCCCTTTTTATTGGTCTTGTGTAATATGCTGAATTTCAGAAAAAACTTTGGGTTTCTATTAGCTGAGAGTCAGAATGATAAAAACCAACTAAAGTAAATGGTTGGAATGTACATCACTCTCTGAGTAGTGAATGTAATATGAATTTAACTTTTGATAATATTGTAATTTATTGAGATGTTTCCTGTAAACAAAGCAAACTAAAAGACACTCACAGGTCATTGGTTTTGGGAATCATGGTTCCCAGCTCTTTGATTCGATCATTAATGTTGAATCTTCTCCTCCTTTCAACTATTGCAGAGCAAAGAGACAGAAACAGAAAAATATGTTTGCATTTTGGAGATGAATCATAAGAAAAAGCACAAATACACACAGAGTCACAAACAGTCACAGCCAATTACTCTTAAGTGCTAGAACAGCAGAAACGATCAAGTTAACTATCCACCCACTTGTTACACTATGTCAGCTAAATCAGCATAAAGCTGTAGCAAACTGTGCAAGAGGCCAACTGTGCTGTGCATGTTTGTCGCTGTCAATGCGTCCAGTGCAAAGACACTTACTTAGATTGTGGTTGTCTTTCTTCTGTCTCTCCTTGGCCAGCGCACGGGCTTCTGTGTCTTTGCAAAAACAAAAAGTAATCAGCTAAAGACTGTCAAAGTGCAACAAAAAAGATGTCACAGATTACCAGAAAGGGTCACCGTGGTTCTTAGAGCGACAACTTTTGGTAACACTTTATTTGAAGGGGGTTGAATAAGACTGACATGACACTGTCATAAACATGAATAAGCCTTCATGAATAGTTATGACTGTTGTCATAAAGCGTCATTTGGTAAATTATGACACTTTTAATACAAAGTTGGCATTATTCAAAATGTCTTTGTTATGACAACTTGACATTAACCAAGAAATCACTACTGATATGAATTTGTTATAAAAGTATTACTGATTGCACTTTAAAAATGAGGTAACTTTATGTTATTAAAGGTAAAGTTTAAACAGTAATGATTTCCTTTACCCAACTTTTACATCATCTATAAAGAACGAAATTTGTTTAAAACTCAGTTGTTCGCACCTGACAATTCTCGCTTGATGGTCAGGTTGGCGGGACAGGAGTTGCTTGTCATTCCGATAGTTGGCACCTTCATCCCAGGACCCGTGTAGACGTCCAGGTGGCTGCTGGAAAGCGGGAGCTGGGAGCGAGGGGAGCACAAACAAAAAGACATACACTTTATTTTTAGAAAACATGTCTAAATACAGACCACACGTTAAGCGTTTGAAAAATAACTATTTCATTGCATCAACTCAAGTAATGGCTCAGTCTTTTTCTAAAAAAAAGCAAATACGTGTCGGGTCAAACATGAAAAACGATGCTGCTATTTCAATATATGTTTGTGTTATAGTGTAAAATTACAATTAGATTAAAGTTTACAAAATACAACATTACGAGTACCCTATAAAGTATAATCTCATCCGTCTGCACTTCAGTTTTGTTCAATACGTTTATTCCCTACCAAGAAATCTTTCACGGCTTCTTGCAACCTGTAAAATACTTTTATGGAGTCAGTGTTCGTGTTTATTGTGCTGTAAAGTGCAAACAGCAGCAGGTAATGCAATAACATCACACCTGAGATCAGCTTGCCAAATGCACAGCAATGATTGACAATCACGTTGTCAACCTTATCTGTCTTTTATGGCCGGAATCCCTCCTCTGCCTTCTCCTGCTCCTGAATTTACACCTGCGAAGTGCTCCAAACTCCAATATCTTGCACTTTAGACTCTATATAACAACAGAGATTTAACTCGGTGAGGACAATTAAAAAGAACTCATTTCCCTTTAATTGTGCAGGCCAAGGAGTCAATGAGTTTTAGACCCATCAAGGAGCCGTTTCAGACTGCCCTAAAGCAGTAGGGACGAATGTGGCCCTACTAAAGAGGCCTGACAGATAAAGAGCTCAAAGAGAAAGATAACTTAATCTGCAAGCTACTGTGCGAGCTGGAGGATTAAACACATTCACAGACATGAACATAAACGGGTATTTCTGAAGTTTTGCAACTAGGCTGAAAGAATTCAATACCAATATAAACAAAACGCTTCAAATTATTAGAAAGTTGAGCTGTGAAGGTGTGGAAAATGGCTTAAAAGAAAAAAAAAAGAAAGCATAAATCGATTATTAACTAATTAAATTAGACATTCAACAGCATGGCTATTCATTTATAGGCAAATCTGATGTTTTTTCGGGTTAATGTTTAAAACAAATCATCACACACAATAAAATCCCAATAAAAAAACTTTTATTTCTACCGGTCATATTAACATTATTTCTGCTGACGACAGATGCCAGAAAACGCACGCTCCGTCTCAGCCTGTTCCTCCGTGCTTCTGCACTTCACTTCGCACATCCTGATCGGGAAATCCCAACAGTCTGCTCGTTTAATTAGCAGCTAATTCTGAGCCTGTGTCACCGTCTGCTCGAAGACTTTCAAAACGCTCTCTCTGTGCCTGGCATTCAGTGGTGTCCCCCAGCTTTTGCTAAAGTTTAAAAGATTCCAAGAATTCCAAGGAATTTGCTGTCTTAATCCCCATCAGGATTAGCAGGTGAGTTTTACTCACTGTGCTGACATTAAAGGGAATAAAGAGAGGCCGGGTAAGCTGGAATCTAACCAGCACACAGTTAACACACTGATGTGCAGTTTCTACTTAGTTCTTCAGCAGCCATCTTTTGAGACACTGAGATTGATTGGTGTGTGCTGACCAATCTAATCACACAGTGCAGCACAGACTCATGCACAAAGACAAAGTTTAAGTGATTAAACCAATCAACCGCACAGGGCGGTGGGAGATAAAGCCACAGCTGTGTATGTGGGTTTCTGTCTCCACGCAGCAGTTAGTGAAGTTGAACACACACAGTATCAGAGCCTGCTTTGATTTAAGCTCAAATTGAGATGTGAAATCCAACAATACGAAATGGAATGAGGAGAATCTGAAGTGCAGGGGGGAAAAAAAAGCATCCAATAATATGCTCGTGTGAAAATATGCTGATGCATCGCCGACAGAAGTCCAAAGTCTTAACACGCAGCATAAGAAAAGGGACAATCCACTGCCTCAGATCTAAATCAAAGTCATGTTTAAGCAGCCAGAGAGCTTTTTTTATCTTACCAGCTGAATCTGTTCTCCTTCAATAACTTCCACAATGGCATACGTCTTATTCATCTCCTTCATCCTACACTCCTTTGCTTACAAAGACCGAGGGGGGCTTTCTTCTTCTCTCCTCTCCTGGGCTCGGGCGGCACATGCAGAGGTTTGTGGCGCACGCCTCCTCTGCTGCTGCTGCTGCTGCTGCTGCTAAGAGAATGACCTCAGCTCCGGCTCGTCTTCTACCTCCGTTCTCCACCAAACAGGAGTGAACTTTCCCCCAACTGGACTTTCACTCTGTTTTCCCTCCAGCATAAATTGTCCTCATCGCCCCCACCCGTATACACCCCCTCCCTCCCTCCCTCCCTTTTTTTTCCCCTTCCCTCCACCTCCCTCTCTCCGAATGTCTTGTAAACAAGTTGAACTCTAACTGGTGGCGGCTTAATTGTTAATTTTCTGAGTTTGCTTCCTCGGATACAAAGCGCAGCACAGTCCTCGTCCCGGCATGTCTTCCTGGCTATTGCTAACTATGTCCAACACGGTTTACGGATGGAATGTTTAGTGTTTATGCCAATTATACACTTTGTTTCGTGCACTTCACTTTGTTTGTCTATGTGGTTTTGTTTATGGCTGCATGAAGATATAACTGATTGGACGCTGTGGGTACATGCTGAGTGAAAGGAGGAACATTCAGTGGCTGCTTTGAAAGATTAACATACTGTGGTTTAATTAATAGATGAGCCTAATAATGTCCAATAATAGCAAACATCACTGATATGGTAATTATTGTAATATAAGAGTTCAAACTCTTTATACTAATAACTGACTTGCAATATCTAACTATATGATTTTTTTTTTCTCCTGGGCTCAAAAAAGCCCTAAAAGTCACTTGAAAATGAAATTTTAAAGAAAAAAAGCATT